ATATGTAAGATAATATATAAAATATATGTATAAATTTGTATGTAAATACTTTATCTCAGCTAATTTCAAATATAATTTCTGCAGATGAGCTCAGGTAAATTTGCATTTGTATGGGTTCGGCTTGCCTTTATCAGAATTTATAACATTAAAAAAAAAATCGTAAAATAAATAACACATTTACGTTCGGTTATTGTTTGCACAAATATTTGCTTAAAGTTTGCAAATGTGAATCACAAAGGAGGGCGAAAAAACCGCATTTAAAACAAAAATCTGTCTTGCACACTTTAAATAAAGTTTTTTTTAATCTCTTCGACTTGCTCTGCTTTTCGAGTTTGTATTAAATTGTATTGCTTAAGTTGAATTCTTTTGTGGGGTTTATTGCATTTTTTATCAACATCATAAGAATCCATAGCCTTTGATTGATTTTTATACAACAACAGAATCAAATCTTTGTCTTTGCAAACTTACATATATGTATATGTGCGACTACTTCTGAGACTCCAAATAGCTCTGCCGAAACCACAAGTTCGACTATATTTTATAGCCTCATTTCAGAGTATTTTTACACCCTGAACCCATTGATTTTTTATCTAAGTCACAGCAACCAACATTTCGATCACTTTTTATTGTATCATATATGTATGAACTGTTCTTAAATTCCCCTAAGAAATTATGCATTTATAATAGATTATAAATAATCTAATATTAGTTTTTCAAAGGGGAAGTGTAAACAGCTTTATGCAAACAGCCAGACAGTGTCAAAACAGCTTCAACTTTTGTTCAATATTGACAGACTAAGTTAAAGTAGCAGAAATAGTAGTATTATGTTAGAAGTAATATAAGTAGTAGCAGGATTATTATTAGAAGTGAATATATTTGCAGTAATAGTAGTAAATGCCTCATTTCATGTTAATTCTTTTATGTAGATTAAATGGTACGATTTGAGCCAAGAACCTATTAAATTTGTATATATATATTTTTCCTATAGCTACCATTCGCTGACAATTGACAACTCGTATCACTATGGATTAAAATTAACCCTAACTAAAACAACTTAATACTCGACTTTTATGCTGTAACAATCAGCGCTGTCTGTCCCTGAGCTTCAAACGGAATAACACAGTTCCTCAGTCTCAGAGTCAGTCTCCGTCTCCGTCTCAGTCTCCGTTTCAGTCTCCGTCTCACTCTCAGCCTCAACTAGTCACGCGCATGCGCAGCTGCGCGCTGCAATGAGCCATTGAGAACTTGCTGGGCTTTACCTGGGCTTTAACAGTTCGATGTGTAACTGATATTGTTGTTGCTTCAGTTGTTGCCGTTGCAGTTGTTGTTTTTGTTGTTGCTGCTGCCACTGCTTGTGTGCTGCGCCTGCTGCCAAAAGCTTCCGCTACTTGACGCTTTCAGTTGTCTGCGTTTTCTTCTGCTTCTTCTTCTTCTTCTTCTGCAATTAAGCTTATGCTTATTGGCAGTTGTTGTTGTTGTTGTTGCTGTTGTAACTTTTGCTGTTACGAGTTGTAACTGCTTTGAGCCGGTCAAAACAACAACAAAAACAAAACAAAAACCACTTTGCTTTACTCGAATTCAACTTTTAACATTTGGCCCGCCGCTTTCAAGGCTTCAACTTTAACACTCAACTGTTTCTTATATAAGCTTTATAAACATATACATATATATTTATCTGTATTTATTTCCGTTAATTGCTTTAATTGCTAATTATTTATTGCACTTCACGAATCACTGTTCTACTGCTTCTTCTTTTGGGCACTTCCTAGGTGGGCGTACGAACGAAACCGAAATTTTTGATGACAAGCAGCAAAACGCAAAACCCGTTAGTCTTTAAATGGTGCCGTTAAGTGAGACGACGATCGCTTGGGCAAAGCGCTAGCAGCCAACTGATCGAGCCAAGGCGCAGCTCGGAGGGTTTTATGGCGAACTTGACTTCAGCGGCGCACAGTGGGC